ATGCCTCAGATGGGTGTTCTGTATGCGTCACTGCGATTATTCCATATGAAGATAATTGTGACTTGGATGTTTGCAGGCAAAATTTGTGCTACACCACACCACAGGATTTTACACTGCTGTAACATGTGGGTCAGATTAATGATGAATGGATGTGAGACCATCAGAGCTATGCTGTCGATACTCCGATGTGAACGCATTCGCCTAAGACTAATCCTCATCAAATGGCACTTCCATTTCACACCATAGCAAAAGGTCGCTATGTGGCAGATCCTTGTGGTCGCAGATGTACACAAGCGTTATCTCCAAAATACAAGTAGATTTGAGCGAGCAATTTGCTTGCAAATCCAATGGCATCAATTTCTGACCAAATGTATCCATAAACGAACATATTTGGCCCCACAATTTCTTCGCAATTCGTCACCGTGAAATACACCTGGTTTTCTAAGGAACAACAATCGGTCTTCTAGGGATGCCTCGTTTAAGCGGCCTAATCGTCCACCGGCTTGATGTTGATCGGGACTGACTTCAGCTGCGTCTAATGGCTATAATGACACGCTGTTGAAACAGAACAGGCGACCATACGTACTAAATATTCCACTATGGTGTTTATGCAAACAACTGCGAGCAAACTAAATTTGTCGATCAAATAATCAATTTCTTGTTGAAATATCTCCCAGAATATTGTTTTTAATATCAACGGTGCAGGTTTCACAATACATAATACGCGTGATACTGTCCTTCTTCGCGGTGAACCATTTAGCGGACATGTGGCGTGTGTCAATCGTGGTTGGTGATACAGTTTTCGACACATTTGCAGATAAACAATACAATGAGGATAAGTATAAATTTGTCGTTCTTCACTTGCGTAGAATAGATCCCAACGAATATGCAGACGTCAATTTGTGCAGTGATTTTTGTGGCACTAACTGCTGAATTTGCTGTTTTGCATGCGAACACATTTTACACTGACTGCTGTGAGTCCATTCTTGTAACGTATACCTAGCAATTCATGTTTGCTCATCACTTGTTAGTAATAGGTTTTTTGGTTTAAATATTTATAAGCATGCGTTTTATATTATCGGTGGATGCTTCTCACAACATGCAGCCTGAAATTCAAATGATCAAAATACCAACTTGATTGCCATTTTCCCACTTGCGCAATCTCCTGCGTTTTACAGCTGATGGCAACACGCTTATCAGCGCATCTGTGCCGAACTGCAGCCAAGTGTCTTGCGTCGCTGATGGAGGCTCATTTGTAAATATTGAAATCACCTTCCAAGCAAGTAAGAAAGTATTGGAATGTATATTCAAGTTTATGCGAAAAATTGCCTATTTGGATGAAAAGTAATGGATTCCAGTTTTGAGAAATGCACAATTTTCATTTTATGCCAATTGACCCTGCTTCAATTTGCTGAATGAATTTCCTTAATGAGGAAACCTTAATGACTCCGAAGGTCATAGCTACATCGCTCCGACAAGTGAATCAACGTGTGGTGAACGAATGCATAACATACGAAAGAATTCATCCATTAAGTACCATTGTTTTCAAGTTAAAGGATTTACCAAGGTACATAAATAAGAATCCTTGGATGACCGACATATTTCATTTGGCAAAGTGGTTGGCCAAAATTTTTCAACAAATATGATGGGAACTAACGAATCAGAACCTGCGTGGCTCATTAAAATTGGACTGTTATGCACCTGATTTGAATGTGTTGCTTTGATTTAAAAGAAAAACTCACGCTTTAAATCTTATCGGTCCACACATCATTAGATTATATTCGTTCTTTATTTGTGCTTAGAAAGAATCATTCGTTCTGGGAAGGCGCAACTTTGTCTGAGGGACTCACAGTCGAAGATTTGTTTACGCGAAGTTGCAGACATAAGCGATATCTGTGACTACATGGATCCAGGATGTCCGCTGCAACAAGGAGGTGTATACACGTATAAGAGGAGTTTCTTGGCACCGGATGTCTCGGTATGTATTAACTTGTATCGGTTGTTGCATTTGGCTGTTTATTTTATGCTGAGGAGCTAATTTTATTTTCGGTCAAGGGATGATATTTTGAGTTATTTTTACAAAACAGCTAGTAAAACACTCATTTCCAATTTCAGATGAAAGGCGAAGTTAGCTACAAGCTTTATGACGAGGAATGCAACGTGGTTGCATGCTTACAGTACAACGGGGAAATTGTGTCAAAGAATAAGAACAGACCGCAAATTCTGTTCACTGAAGACAGCTATCCATGCGGCGGCAAATGACATTACATGTTTTGCTGATCTTTCCTACACATTTATATTTCTTATGACCGTAATTAAATGAAGGCGGAGATTGCAAACTTTGACCAATACATATGCATGTAAAGTTTTGTGTCTTCTAATGGGTAAGAAATGGGCGAGCGCTTATTGCGAAATCAGGATGCGTAACTTCGATCCTCTGACGTATAAACGACGGAAATTTTAAGCTGCCGTTTTGTATGACCACACGGTTAACGATTTGCGCTGCGCTATTTTTGTTGCATTTCGGTGAATACATAAATGACACAGATACTATCGAATAATAGCGCGCATTTGCTTACTTTTGACGCAAATGATATGTTGTCAAAATTCGCCGGGTAAGAACTAACACAATGTTGACATCCATCAACGCACTCCTAACAACAAAATCCTATATTGCATGTACACAAACATCCAAGATCTTCTATGTAATTTGGCCGAACTTAGAGAATTCCATGCCTCACAGCCGAGTGACCTCTTCATGGTTACAGAGACATGGATAAACCTTAGATAACTGATTCTGAGAGCAATTTCCACGGTATGTCGCTGCATCGGACCGCTAGAAACGGAAGGGTTGGCCGTGTGTTTCTTTACTATAATACAATCATCCGATGTAAACTTGTCGATCATCCGGAAATCTGAGCTCCCGATTCACTTTGGTGCCGCCTATGGTTGCGAAACAATGACACATGTCTACTAGCCGTGATTTATCGCCCACCAAACTCAACGTCGGAAATGAACTCCAAACTGAACCACGTTTTTCACTTTGCTTTGAACAAGTCGTACACCCACATTCTTATCGCTGGAGCCTTTAACATGCATGACATAGAAACGCCGGCAACGGTGGGTACGCAGTTTAAAGCGTGCTTGCAAATGCTAATCGCCAGCCATCCTCTGTACAACCACGTACACTCGCCCACATTTCAATTCCTTCACCGTTGGGTTTAGTCATCATCACCTTCACTGCGCAATCTGTGGTGAAGAAGTTGTTATGCTTCCGTATCCACAGTCCTCCTGAATTCGAAAATATTTGATCAAATGCTGTGTGGTTGATAGCTAGTGAGCTAGAATATCCACTGGCCGTTTCATATCAGCGATGCCTATAAGAGAACCATATTCCACCAGGAAGGAAGATAGGGGTTATCACACCAATCCATAAATGAGCCTGCCAAATACCGTCCAATAACAATACTTCAAGTACTATCCAAAATGACTGAATCAATCATCGCAGATGCGCTGATGCAGTATCTGGGAGGCGACAACTTAATAGCCCCAGAGCAACATGGCTTTCGTGGAAAGCATTCGTGTAATACTAACCTATTAATTGCTCGTAATAGCTAAACTGAAGCTGCCGATGATGGAGTAGGTGTCGACGTCATCTATCTGGACTTTATAAAAGCGATTAATCGCTTACACCATCGAATTATCCTTCAGAAGCTTTGGAACTACGGCATTGGCGACGCAATCCTGAGTTGGATTAGCAATTTTCTACACGAACAACGGTTAGTGGTGAGAGTCCGCGAATCATTGTCTGACGCAATCGATGTGTCGTGTAGAATACCACAAGGCTCGGTGCTTGGACCTCGTCTATTCTTGGTGCACATTAACCATTTGGCGAGATCAATTGCTTCCGATTTCCTATTTTTCGCAGATGATATCAATATATGGCGAAGGACAGAAGGACCGGACGATCAATAACTGCTCCAGTGCAATCCTAGCACAGTGTCGTACTGGTCTGTTCAAAACGCAGTACCATTCAACGTAGACGAATGTCGCGTTGTACAATTATGACGTACATATAACTACGTATATTTCATTGGGACAAACGGTGTGCAGACCAGCCACTAGGAACGTGAACCTGGTATGATCGTACAGAGCAATCTCGACTGTTCAAAACAGGCTGAGTTAGCTGCGAAATGTGGCATCCAGAAGCGTTAGAGGCACCACAAAGAACAACAACATAGAACGTAAAGGGCCTACATTATCACTCTTACCGCAGATGGCTGAAGTTGATGGGAATTTTCAGCGGACGTTATCGATGGCTGTGTTGCGTTTGCATATTTGCGCATCAGATATTGAGTGACCCCAACCACGTATGCAGCCATTTGCTGAAACTTAGCCACAACACGCAGCTCAGGGGTAACTGCTTACAATTAAATGAAAAATAAAGTCGTCTAGATTGTCGACGAAATTACTTTTCCCTTTGGTTGGCCAACCCTGGTACGCGTTCCAGTCTCAGTTGTATACCCTCCAACATTTGACTACTTTTAAAGACCATTGGATGTTGATCTTAACTCCCTGCGTCTTGTTACCTCATCCTCTCTCGTGTGGATTAGACCAAGCATGCTTTTATCCCTTGCTAAATCATTGTTCGTTGTTCATTGAGACGGTGGAGATAAGCAGAATACTTTAAGCTACTTTTTATTGAACGTGCTTGAACACCTACTTATATTACCTGTATACACTATAAGGGTGGTACAAACGAAGACGCCACTTGATGACAGGCGAACTAGTGTTGTTAACAGAAGTGAGCATATAAATATGTCTGTAGCCTGAAAGCATCGCGGTAGAGATGAGAATAATATTTGTGACGGGATGGCTTGGGACCCCTATTTGCTTCCAATCGAAGGGAAGCAAAATATTCTCAAAAATGGTTAATCACCCAAAGAGAATTTGAATGATGCGTGAAAGTATATAAATAAATATTTATGCGCGACAAAGCGAGGCCCGTCTTTTTAGCATGTCTGAATTTTGAAAATTTGAACTATGTATTCAATATGCTACTAACAATTAATACGTATAACCTGAAATTTTTCAAATGGAAGTTTACTCGGACTGTCATTACACGCCCGAAAATGCACTGTACGCGCGTTGCATTCTTTCTCGAATCGTCAGCAGTGCGAATTTTATTGGACCCTTCTACTGCTCGAACCTTAAGTCGACTGCCGCTAGTCCGTGTTCGAGATAATTGAGATAGAGGAAACCGAAACAACCATCGTAATTTATTTATACCTTTTTCTCACTACAGCTATATTCTGTAGTCTTGTCTCCTCTCATCCAATTTTTCAACTTTGAATTCCTATGACTAGATGCCTCTTCTTCAGACAGTGAGCGACCCTTGCTTCTCAATTAACCCGACACGCACCCTTAATCTTCTCTACCGTCTGATTTAAACGCTTCATTGTAGAAGTCCACCACAAGTTGGAACACTTAGTAACTTTCGACGCTGCTGCTAAACTTATCCCGCTGCCCCAGGCCCGTTTCATAGCTGGCTCTGCAACTGCTGTCCCGCCATATCTGTAAAATGCAGCCCCGTCCATTATCGCTCCTGATTTCAACGTTGAATGCCTACTGGTACGTGCAAAGTCCATAGGTAGCACGCGGCTTGTGCTTCACAACTAATCCGGCACGCAGTTATACTCTTCTGCCTTCTGCGATTAGGTTTTCGGAACCATATCTTATCTGTCAAGACTTCAACAACAATTCAACATATTGCAATTTATATCCTTCGGAGACTTCGCGTGGGGCTGCAGATGATCAACACATCATATTCAAAAAGAATATTTAGTTCCTGACCTACCAATTGGGCTCAGCCTTTCGTTCAAATTATGACTGGACCCACGAACGTAATAGGCACCCGCCTAACACATCAGCCAAAGGAAAAAATGGGAGGCAACTTGAGTGCAAATAACCAAGCAAACAACCGCTCAACAAGAAACATAACCAGTTACAAATTGCCATTAAATGGATCGGCGGAATTGTTTCAGGACGTGGTGGGTATTCCCCTGGCAAGCCTTCTCTCTACAAAAAGCCACAAATGTCCTGTTTAACAACACTGCAACGTGGCGAATGTTACTCGCCATCGAATAAAGTCACAGCCCATAACTTCACATTGGCAGGTCGACTAGCGTCACCATTTTAGATCGGTTCGTTACACTGGAACTACTACATCTGTTTAGCCTGTTGTCTCTTCTCTCTTCTATTTCATGCATTTACCCTCGTCAATTTAGTTTTACGATATCACCGTTGACCTTTGTGTTACTTATGCACGAACGCACTATATTGTCATATCTCTCTAGAGGGTGCTCTTCAGTTAATTCCTGATGGATCATTCAGGATTCTCAATCTATTGTTAGCCGAGGTATGACTGCAATATGTGGCAGAGAGATTATGTCCTGACAAACGGGTCCCGATCTCACGACAGCCAAATTATCGTTTTGCATTTTCACCATTGTACGGTTGCAATCATGAACATATGAAATATTTTCTACTGTCACTATTACAGTTTTCATTAAATGCCTGTAAAGTTGCACATACCTGATCGTGCCTCGATGGGCGTGCCTCGCATAGTCGAGAATAAAATATGTTTTTGTTTCGCTGCCGAGATGTATGTCCCACCCTTGGAGCAAACCTAGGAGTGAAACACTTAGCAACTTCTGGCGGTGCCGTTTGTATTATCCCATTACCTCTGGGCTCTTCTAGATCTGGCTCTAAAACCGTTTTCTCTCTAACTCTGTTGCGAATGTTGCTGTCTATTCTCCCTCCAGTTTTCAACACTTTATGCCTATTAGTGCATTCCTGAGCCTAAAACAGCGTGCCAAGCCGGATTATTAATTAATCAGACTGCCGGTCACTTACCCCTTAGCCGTCTATTTGTCTTTTGGTTCCACTGTGGATGTCCACCTTAGAATGGAATACCTAGTATCTTTTGGCGCTGCTGCACAAAATATGCTGAGATTACTGGTCTACTTCAGAGCTGGTTCTGAAACCGTTTTCTCGCTACAGCCCTAGTATGTAATCCTTCTCTTTTCGCTCATGTCTTTCACATTGAATGCCTAGCAGTCAGTTCCTCAGCATACGACAGCGGGCAGTTTCTTCTTCACAAATAATCCGACCCCAGTAATGCTATTTCCCGCCGTGTGTTTGACTTGTATGCTAACTGTAGAAATCGCTATAATTTTCTGTTTTTTTCAGGTTTCCTTCAGAGCTGGTCTTGCTACCGTATTCTCGCTACAGCTGTAGTATATAGTCTCTCCTATATTGTCACAACTTCTCTGACACTCCGTCTC